ATTGTCGTTTGTACTTAAGTGTATATGGCATGCAGGATATTCTTCTTGACTTAGTGTTAATTTTAGGCTTTGAAAAACTAACTTTCAGCTACTCTTGTATACGCAACTCGGCATTTATTTGACCTCGTTTTCGTAGCTTGGACGTGCTGTCAAGGCAACCTCGCCTGGTGTCCTCTGCCATAGTTGTCATGATGATTACCCGCGTCTGACCGTTGACCATGAAGGTCACACCATATCGGTCTTCATACCTTTCTTATACAGCCTAGTTGAGCTGGTTTTGGTCAGCCAACTGTAGCATGCAGTGGTATTTTTGCCAAATACGATTTGTCCATCCAATGTTGTCTCAACCGTTCGCCCAATGACCATCTCTTTCGAGTCTTAATGCTGACTTTAAAGCTTACACACTCCGAGTCTGTAGTTTACTTCTTTCTCATGCCTTGGTTACTTGGAAATCTCACAACCACTTGAATGATCACTCACGTTTGTATCTATCCTTTAATGTGGACGATGGCTTCAAGAGCACTCACCTAATCTTTTCAGCGGTCGTTTTAAGCAAGCACCCAATTCTCCCTATCTTCACTCCTTGTGGACGTACATATGTTGCCGGAGGCGTTGGCACTCAAACAATGGGCTTGAGCTTCAAACAGCATTGCTTGCATGGCGACCTTCATAAGAGTATCTATTGAATCTCGACTCCACCTGCCAAGTATATATTCCGAATGCCTCATGTCAGCTCATCAAATAACTTTGCACACCTCTTCATACTCTTTTTATTCCTTCTCGAAATTGCTAGCTTCCAGACTACCAGTAGATCGGACATAAGAATTGTATTCACTCTAATTCGCTTAAGGTGATGTAGGACTGGTAGTTGAATTTTCCCACAATCAGTCCTTCATCACCTTAAAGAAAATAGGGTGAATACAGCTTTTATATCAGATCTACTGGTAGTCTCCTTAGAACCTACTTTTAAACTGAAAATCAGTAATGTAGTCGATTGTTATAGCAAGTATAACATTGCTTTATCGACAATCCCACCACGGAAATATGATTTTGCCAAGACTTATGTCCTGTGACTCACGGAAACTTGTGGCACTGTGGCTAACGTGTCGAGGCTGTGCGTTCCAATACCGCAAGCCGGGTTCAAGTCCCGTCGGGAGGATCATCTGCTTAAAAACTTTACTTGGTTTAGGAGCATTAACCGCTGTAACTTACTTTTAATAAAGCGGTATTAATGGTCAGAATCATCGTTTTGGTTTCAATCGTTTATGTGACTTAATCACAGGCAATGTTATACTGGTGGTTGTGGCGATATTGATGCAATACATGGTATCATATAATATATATAGTAACATAGTAATATAATAATAATACCACAATTCCAAATCGTATTCTTCCCATATTAATGTTGGAGTACCTTTCATTTCGTCTGAAGAGGCGAATGGAAGGGATTCATAAGTTGGCCTCTCTGGAAGCTGTTATTGTAAATTGGTGCCACTGGCTACTCGGGGTACCACCCTGCGACCATGGTGAATACTAGCTGAGCTTTCGTCCGTCATGTGGCGGACATCTTCAGAGCAGAACATTAGGCCTAACGATAATTCACCAAAAACACGATGGCAAGAAAAGTGGTAGGCTTCAAATCTACCTACTTCTTATAGTCCAACTTGGTTCACTTAATTAGGCGTCTCATGTCATGTTTGGATATCCGTTACTTTATCCAAATGTTTGCTGAAAAGTTAATTTACGTAGCTGAAGATGACATGTGAAGTGGTTGCAGATGAAGTGTGAATCGGATGCAATTGTGACCAAACAGTTGCATCCTCCCATAAAACACGCATACCGTTGATCCTGCATTGTTGCCGCATTTTATTACGTTTCATTGCACGCGTACCGTAGGAATGCATTGCTCTTGAAATACTTAAAATGTTAGTGTCAAAACCGGATTCGAGCCTAATCAAGCCCCCTCTTGCTCGGTGGTACATCTCCTTCCACCCTCTCTAGTCCTGTCCAACAGCCACAAGTCGTTTCCACCTAATTTTCTGCACTCATTTCTGCTACACAGGATGTTGGCTGTTTTGTTGAGTTCTACAGCTTCCCTAATCTTCCGCTTACTGGTTGGTATACAACTCATATATCTGATTTACTAGTGGTCTCGAAAACCTACTCACGAAAAAAGTAATGTCGTCGATTGCTATAGCAAATATAAGTCTGCTTCATTGATAATCCCAGCACAGAATGTGATAAGGAAAATGGCTGGCATTCTATGAAACTTGCATCTGCCCTGTGACTCAAGGCACTCGTGGCAATGTGTCGGAGTGATTGACGTGTCGAACTGACACGCAGCACAACTCCAAGGCAATCTTCCTCGGAGCTAAGGTGAGACGGACTAATGAATCCTTTCCATCAAGCTAAATCAAAATTCTAATGGTATGAAAATATTAGACGGCTTTTCGAGTCCAAGGGAGACCACAAATTCTTAGCTGAATACCTTTTAAGTATGCCGGTGTTTTTTTTCAATTTATTTTATAAAGGAAACCAATGAGTATGTGCTGATGGCGAGAGGAGCCGAGGTGAAAAGGGATGAGAACTTCTTTTAAGTCTAGTCACCAGAGCATGTCTGAGCTTTCATTATGGACCTGATGGCCGCATTTTTAGTCCACCCTTGCTCTCTGCAATTACTGAGTCATACTTGCTTATTTGACTTGAGAGATTCTTTGAAATGCAATTCCTCACCCTTTTTTATGGCTAACTTTATTTAGTACAAAAGCCATAATGCATAGGTGATTAGGTGTGTTTTATCATCCCTTGTAAATGGTGAATTTCGTCGGACTCGAACTCATAGCATGTTGCGAATATGAGGTGAAAGCAACATTGTTTTTTATTTCATTTGAAAAGGCGGATGGCAGGTACTCGTAAATTGGTCTCTCTGATCACTGAAGGAGGGTTGCCTTGAACTCGTGACTGCTGGGGTGTGCAGAGAAGGCCTCGACCCTCAAGCCTGGGACCCCGATCCATGCGTGCTGACCTTTCGTCCGTCATGTGATGGACATTGTCAGAGCCAGAGAATATCATTTGTTAGCAAACACCAAAAGGTGCAGTCCAACAGTCACGAGTCCAGGTCAATCCTTGTTGATTGTCGAGTGGGCCCAATTTGCAAATCCCTCCCAGCCACCGACATCAACTTTCCTCGCCTAATCGCATTGTTTGTATTTCCGCCTGTCCACCGTTTCCCCCCCCACACGGACACAAACGAAGAGGGGTTTGAGGCTCTTTTCGTCGTTTTTGCCCGAACCGGCCCAAACCGATGTGCTTTTCGGGCGTCTCGCTTTACAATGCGATGACATCCCTCCATTCTCCTCTCTGGGATTGTCCATACTTCACGCTTGAACGCATCTCAAAGTAGTCAGCACAAAACCCCATTTCCCCTCTTTTTCCATTCCATACTCCGCCTTGAGAGTGCTGCTAGTTCTGTGGAAATTAGGCCTTCAGACCAGGAATGAATTGTGTTGGGTTTTCGAGTGCTTCCCTGTTCTTCGTCCAAGTCGCGCTTTAGCTGTACACTCCATCTCATGACCTGAGCTCGGATCTACTAAGGGGGCGAGATTATGTCTTTCTGACTGGGTTTGAACTTGCGCTTAACTCCGGATGATTGAACATGATCGATAGGCACTGCACACTCAAGATCGTCTTCATGTCGTCTCGGTTACTTTGTGTACAAGGCCTTGAAACGCTAAAATACCAACTACATTATGAGATGTATTCACCCAATTTCGTTTGAGGTAATGAAGGACATCTCATATTACTGATTTACTGGTAGTCTCGTAACTATACTTAAATACGAAAAATAAGTAACGTAGTCGATTGCTATAGCAAATATACGTTTGCTTCATCGACACTCCCACCAAAGAATGGGATATGGCAAATTCACATTTGCCCTCTGACCCAACGGCACTCATGGCAATGCGGCCGAGTGGTTAACGTGTCAAGCTGCCATTCTGCACTGTCACGGTTCGACTCCCGCTGATGGTGTTGAGAAGACCGATGCGAGGTCGAACCTGCAGTCTACTTCTGCTTGGATGAGAACAACTTTTGGGAAAGCAAGGCCATGTGAAATTCAATGGAAACGTCAGCTTTACTCATATCATTGTGGGAAAAATTCCTCTACCAGCCCTTCATCAACTTAAACGAAATTGGGTGAATACATTTTTATTACTGATTTGCTGGTAGTCTTAAAGCTCTACTTAAATACCAACTGTATGTCTACGAAGAATAACTGGGTTGCGATTAATCTTTTGAGATAACATTGTTGAGGAGACCTTTATTTCTTTTGAATGTGCATGAAGAAGACATTCGCAGGTTGATCTCACCAGAAGATGGCGGCTGATTCGCGTTGTACTGTAAGCTTTTAGCTTTAATAGGACCTTCAGGTTGGCGCAGTTTACGAGTTATCCTCTCTTGCTTCGCGTGAGGACGGGCGAAGGAGGAGGTCTCGTGGACTTCGACAAACTGAAGGTTGTACTAAAGCCAAACGGCTACAGTACAACGCGAATCAGCCGTATCTTCTGGTGGGATCAACCTACGAATCTCTTCTTCATGCACGTTCATACGAAATTAAGGTTCATTTTGCCAATTATCCAATTTTGTGTCTATTCCTATTTCTTCATTCGATAATTTCTGTCACATCGAACTTTCACTAAATCATTTTGGATGTGCGCTTTTCGACTATGAAATGACCACAGCCTCAGGCCAACTCTCGGTTGCCACTCCTTCCAATCATTTGGTATTTTGTGCGAGATTTAGCCTCGTTATGTACTCAGCATTCTGTGAATCAGGCTCTCTCTCTCTCTATGGACCATCTCCTATTAACATTTTCTCTTTTATTTTTTGTCCTGGCAACCCAAAACTACTCAATTTATGGGCAAAATCGCCCTCTCTTGTACCGCCTCAATCGTCAATTAGTGTCCACAGCCCCAGTATTTATCTCTTCGTTTTCTTTATTCCAATACTACTCTAGCGAATTCCTTCGCCTCCCACTCACCAACTCCTCTCGCATCAGCTCTCCTATCCTGTTGCCATAGTTTATATCTTTATTCTGTTTACGATATCTTTGAGTCTCTTTTCCGCCTCCATCTTGCCTCTTATCATTTCCCAATGTAACTAACTTCATTTGGCCCCTTATTTTCCACTTATACTTGCATCAAGTTTCTCACACTTTTTTGTTTGTCTCTTTGGAATCTACTCATACAATACCCCCCTCTCTATCTCTCTCTCTCTCTTTCTTCCCCAAAGAAGCACTTACCTACATACACGCCTCTTGATGCCCTTAGCCTGAGCCCTGACTGTCTGGGCCGAGCTCTTTCTGATGTGGTTAATTAGCACTGCCCAGCTCCGACCATTCCACTTACAGGCACGTCCATGCGAGACTTTTGGCAACCTCTTGGGTGTCTGCCCTCGTATTCAGGCCTCAGTCGTTCTGACATTTCGACGCAAGAGTTGCGGTAGCTAAAAGATACCAGTTTCAGCGATGAAGCGGGTGCATTGTTTGAGGCCTCGCTTTAAGCAATTGTGCAGCCTGAGAACGGAAGCCACGTGTCGGCTTTGAGAGTAGCCCCTCAGCCACACACACACACACACACACACACACGCATATATATATATATATATATGTATATATCTTACGTAGTATCCTCTCTGATGGCGCTTTTATAGACCATTATTCCAAGCAGAAGCTGGAAGGATTTCCCTTTCCATCGATGCTCCGGCCTCGCGTGGCGGATTGCTTCAACACAACTCCAGCACACAATGACAGGGTCTGTTGGTCCTGAGCTGTCCAGCTGAACCACACACACACGTACACAGCTCATTTGGCTCTCTTTCACCGCATGCAGGCAGGCCGGAGCGTTACAGCTCTCATACACTTTGGACTCGTTAGTACCTCGAGCCCCTCACTTTGAGCACGCAAATGTGGTTTCCCACATGCTCTCCCTTGGTTTGGGACAGTTCAGAATGGACCTCTTCAAGCCTCCCCTTGGTTGGGTGAATAATCTCTCTCGCCCTCTTGCTCTCTTTCTCACCTCACATGTGCATTGTCACTCTCTCGTTGCTTTGTGTGAGTGCCTTCTCTGCGCCCATATGATATTGTCTTTGGCGGGGCCTTGGTTTCATCTGTCAGGTCGTTATATCCTCTATTTCACCTCTTCCGCTTCTTGAGTTGGTCACACATTCGACTTCAAAATCACTGCCACCCTCTTCCTCAACTCTGTCGCTTTCTCTGCTGGAGCCGTGTTGAGCCTACAGGCACCAGCATTCATGCGGAGCCCTCAAGTGGAAACTTGTCTATTCTATCCTCTGGAGGGCTTTCGTTGGTGAGCACAAGCGGTCTTGACCTCGCATTACATAGCGCCCAACTGAAAGCGCCGAAGACAGCGACCCTTCGTATTCGTACTTGCTGGCACTCTTCAGCGATCCCCTATTTGCATGGCTCACGACTTATTCGGTAGCAGCGTTTCTGTAGCCCCTTCTACAGGACTTTTATGTAGTGTTCTGTTCACATGAGGTCATTATTGCTGGGACTTTTGTTTCGTATGAAATTATATGAAGAAGTGGTTCGAAGGTCGATCTCACCAGAAGAGGACGGTTGAATCCTGTTGTACTGCAGCCGTTTGTCTTTTATACGAAGCTGAGATTGATGCAGTTCCACTTTTAGGGTGAAATGAGGGTGAAGGTTTCGTGGACTGCGTCAATCTCAACTTCGTATTAAAGCCAAACGGCTGCAGTACAACGGGATTCAACAGTCCTCTTCTGGTGAGATCGACTTTCGAATCTATTCTTCATACATTTTCATACGAAACGAAAGTCCCAGCAATAATGTTATGTCAGGAATTTCATCGAAATCAAGCCACTCTTCATATCCACAAGAGCTCGGGCAGAACCACCAAATGGTGTTCTTGATGTCGCTCGGGTCTTTTGGCTCTATTAAGGGCTGATCCGGATTTTGGGCTCTTTTACATCATAGGTAGAAAGACCAGGATGGTGTGGCTGTTTGTTTGGTCACAATCTCGTTTAGACACATAATATGTCAATGTACCAAGTCTTCTGATGGAGCAAATTTTCAGTTCCCTTGCAAGTAGAAAATTCAACTTCACTGCCAAGTTTCTATTGGCTCGTTGATATGAAGACCACAATACTGTGACCCTTTGTTTGGTTGCAATCTCCTTTGGCTGTATAGCATTGTTCGAATTAAGTATTGTTTTCGTGACTACCAGTAAATCAGTAATATGAGATGTATTCACCCAATTTCGTT